AAAAAATATATTTCTATGAAATTTTATATCCATACAATACAGTATGAAGTGTAAAATTATTGATAAAAAATTATGAACCATAAAGTTATTTAGTCTGAAAACACAGAATTAAAAACATATCGTTGTAAAACCAATAATTTCCGCTTATCCATCGGTCAGAATATAAAATTATACTATTCGTAGTTGAATATTTACTATATATACAGAGACTAATTGTATACAAATAGCAAATTTCAAAATGATGTAGTCTATCAATACTGTACAAATTATTGATTTTGTATTAGTTACTTAAAAAATGGATTGGTATTCAGAGGCGGAACTCGGGGGTGGAAGACGAGGATTCATCCTCGGGCGTAAAATTGTATTTATGTAATTTTTGTAATTATTAACAACTAATTTGATATTTTTAACTTTGTTAAATACTGATATGAGGTTAAAACTCAATAAGTATAATTTTATATTAATAATTAGAAAAAAAATTCTCTAGAAGAGTATTTGATAATTGGTCTATGATAGGGCGTAATTTTAACATTTTCCCCGGGCGTAAAAATTCCTAGTTCCACCTCTGTTGGTACTCAATGTGTTGTCAAGGACCTTAATGTTAGTTGAAAAATACCTGTATATTGAGTTTTCTATAAAGTTTCACCATTGATTACAAACACAAATAACAAACAATGGTTTCATTTGTACTAAATTTTTATTATTGATTTAAAAAGCATAATATATATGAAAGAAATTATTGTATATAGCACTACATTCAATGGATCCGAAAACAATTGTTAAATGTATTCGATCCAACGCGTATATAATATAACGCAATAATTTCTGCACCGTCAGAATGTAAACCCAATAGAATTTTGATGTTAACACGTATGAAATTCATTTTCTTGTCGATTAGTAGATTTATAGTAATAGTGAGTAAATTGTAAAAAACTAAAAATAAATGTCAAACGCGATCGGAAAGCCTACAATTGTGTACCGCAATTCTTGGATTTATTGCATTTTGGTTATTTTTTCGAATATTATGTTACATTACGGATTATTAAACAAATATCTTAGACATTTCGTTTGCTATTCGTCTGTCGAACTTAGACTTACTGGTATATACCAGTATGGTATAAAAGCACGAAGATGCGTCTAAAAGTTTTCTTTCCTATACTAAACAAGCCTTTGACGGTATAGCGCGGCTGTTGACATGATACACGCGTGTGTAGAACTAATCATCCGCGGACGCCCGGTTAAATGAAAATATGGTTATTGCGAATTAGGTGCAACGTAGACATGTATAATATGTATAATTTTCGACGAGTCGGTAAAATTATACAATATACGTGAAATTGTTGGCTATTCGGACGTTATTTCAAAACGTTTGTCCAGCGTAATCTAAAAACAGTAAATAAGATATAGAATAGTATTATTATTTTTTTCACCCGTTTCATCGGTAAAATAAATTTTAATAATGAATCCGGCACATCAGTCTAACACGTCCGGTACATCCATCTCAGTGGGCAATTGATTGATTACAGTGGAAAATCCGTGCGGATTAGAAATCAGACCAAACATACTATATTCATAAAATATTTACACACGGGTAAAAAAGTAACAACGAATTATGAAACTCATGTCGCGGACCGTAATGTAGTTCGAAGAGTTATTGAGCACAGAGAGAAAACGGTCAACTTTATTTGTGTATATGAGTATAAACTATTATTCGAAGGGAATTTATAAATTCACTGCGGTTTTTATCCGGTATTCGTCAATTGTGCCGAATTTGGGACACTACCTGTATAGTATACATCTATTGCGCTGGTATAAAAAGGGTATATTAAAAAGATATACAACTATTGTGCCGGTATAAAAAGGGTATATTTAAAAGGTATACATCTATTGCGCCGGTATAACGACTGTACAGTACAAGTAAAAATCATAATGGTTAAAAACAAAAATTAAAATTAAAATCAAATTTATCATTCTACATATTTGGTATTTACACTAATAGTATATTATACACTAATCCTACAAATTTTGAAAATTTCTTAGGTCTAATATTAAATTTAGTTGTGTCTATTTTACTATTTATTTTTTTTTCATAAATTTAGAGTTTAGTCTATTTGTGATAACTAAGAGAACACATATTATGATTTTTGCGTTACATTATTTTTAAAACTCCATAAAAAACAAAAATATTTGGATGGGGTGAATAAAAATATTTTCCAAACGCTGAGTGAAATGCCTCACAGGCATTTGTTGTTCTTTCGCCTGATATGTTACATGATGACCAAAGATACGGGGGAAAATTTGAATTTTCTTCAATATATGTATCAATGAGGTAATCTCAAAATGTATTAACTCGAATATCGATCGGTGCAATAGATGTATACTTTTTTTTCCATCCCATAATTTTTCTTTCTTTGCCTGCAATTTTTGGCGCAATCGATATAAAGCTTTTTTATCAACGTACGTATCGTATGGGAGTATACAATATTAAATGTTTGTATCGATACGGGTAACCAGTGTCGTAACTACCCTCCGTGATGCCATTGGCGAATTTTGTTTAGGCGCTTGTGTTACCTCGAAACAACCAATTTTAATTCAACGCAAACGCGCCCCTCGCTTTGCTGCGCCCTTGGCGACCGCCCATTTCGTCAACATCTAGTTACGGCACTGCGGGTAACTGCAGCTATGTGACAAGTGTTTAAGAAAAAAAATAATATACCTGCCAGGACGCACGGCGACACAGGTATGACATTTAAATACACACACACACACACACACACACACACACACACACACACACACACACGCACATATGAATTACGATCGTTATTATTATTATTTAGCCAATTCCGCCGGCGGGGTTTATTTTACTTTATTTTATTTTGACCCTCCGGACAGATTTCCTGTGATGACGCTTTGGGACACGTGCACCGTACGCGCCATGACGTACTTACACATGCAAGAGCTAACAACGTATGTAAATGTGTGTGTAAGGATACGTGGTAGTATAATGACGATATGAAAAGTCTCTCCGGACGAGTTATTCCAATCATTAAACGTGTATTATGTACAAGAGGGTTGCAGTAAAAACGCAAAAATATAGCGTACGTCAAATTATTAGTCGACTGGGTTAACGAAATTATGTCTTAAGTGATTAAAGATAGAACGCTGTACCTAACCTGCACAACGTACATGTAATAATATAAGTGTGTGTGTGTGTAAACAAACGACGAGCGTGCACCGTCCGTAGAAGTATAAAAATATCCGCGTCCCCGGAGATTGGCGTGACGGAGCCTATTATTACAGTATTATTATTATTATTACATACGCAGTGGGCACCGGCCAAGGGTCTGTTGTCGAACCGATCGAATACCCCTTAACGTTTTATCGTTATTGTTATTAATATTTTTCTATTCATTTCTCCCGCGCCGCGATTGCGATACTTGTAGGTAAGCGATTCACGTCGGAGAACGGGGAAATGGCCATTTTTATTTTTTCCGGTGCAATATTATATTATGTTTTCCACCGAATGCGCGCATCAGTTTTTTTTTTTATCTATCTTTTTTTTTTTTTTTTCTAATAACCTAATGGAACGCATTATGAAACAATATTATTACCGCGCCGCAGACGGCGTTGGCGACAAACTTCTTGTAAACATTATAATATGTAAAACGAACACACGATGTACGCGAGACGATTGTTTTCGGTATAATATACACCGTGTCATCATCAGCAAGACGCGTTTCTTTCTCCGTAACAATACACGTACGCTATCACAGAAATTCGGGCTTGGAAAACAAAGTACTTGGCTGCGATGCGTTCGTCTCGCTGTCGTTAAACGTTTTACCCGTGAAATAAGAGGGCGAGTGAGTTGAGGGAGAAATAAATTATGTCCGTTACGTGTGCACCACCGTGCCACAAGCGCTGCGGACGTCGTACATATACGTGGAACGGAATTATTTTTAAAGGGACGGAATTATTAAAAATATAATGTTATTATATCGTTACACTGCTATTAGAATATAATACGCAGGAGGAAAATAAGAAGCTGTGTTACGCAACGTTCGAGAGAGAAAAAACAGAGACAACGTTCATATTCTTCCCTTTTGTGTTTACCCACCCCTGTCGCGCGTCACACGCATATATACACATTGTACGTACATACGAAATTGAATAGATGCCGAAATATATATACATTGTATTCCGTAGACGATCATGCGCATTGCATTATTGTTATGATGTTTATTATTATTTTATAATAATGTGAAACGGTCGCCGGGAACCAGTGGATATGACGCGCGCGATTCTTCCACGCTCCTAGCCACGTGCACAACCTAACTGTCTTGTTTGTCCGAGGAGTCAACTAACCGGACGAGCGTAAGGAGCAAAACAAATATCGAACGGTGAAACCGACCGTGTGTACAAAATTATAAGATAACACTAACGTTACAACGGTCATTATTATTATTATTATTATTATCGCTGATTGATGTATTACGATTACTATTAATGATGTATTATATTACTACGATTTGATATAATACTCTTATTATTTCATATTATTATTTGCACAAATTCGTGCCGAGGGCGGGTTCAGCATCCATTTACGGTCGGGTCACTTTGTAGAAGAAATAATACAATATAACTGATCACGGGCGTGTGTACGAATGTCTTTGAAGGAGCTTAGACCACCCCCCCCCCAAAAAAAAAAAAAAAAAAAAAAAAAAATTAGTCGACGACACTGTACTATACCTATCAACGTTTGTTTATTTTTATCTATTAATTAGTTCTTCTAAACGTGTTTCGTTTTTAATTTTATTTTTTTCCAACGGGGGGTGCGTTTGTCCCCGGTGTTTCCGTCTGATCCACCCACGATTCGCGCAACGTTAATGTTATTCCGTTCCAACAGCGATCCGTCTGCACCGTTTTTACAACATTTATATTGCCATACGCGCGTTTCTCGCGCACCGCGTTTTAATAAATTTTAATTTTTTGTGTTGCAGGTAAGAAAAGCCAATCGCTGGCCAATGCCCCGAAGCGAAGCAACCGAAAATCCTCAGGTATTACTTGCTTCTAAGTTATCGTCAACAGACAACGTAACTCGCGCGAATCGTAACCCTCCGGCGTACAATAGCACACGTTGCGCGTATTATGTTCGTGTGGTGCCAATCGACGCGCGTGTACGTCGGAGCGTATTTCAACGCACAAAGCACGCGGGGCACTAGTGCCCTCCCATCCCAGTGATAATCGAATGCTACCCGTTGACGGGCGATCGTGTCACTGACCAACGCGTTCCCATTACGACCGCGGTCCGCCGAGGTGTTCAGTACGTTCCTCCGCCGCAGACGGCACCACGACGGTTCGGTGAACTTTATCGAAGTGCCGCCTAATGAGAATCGCTTAAAATACGTTTGTGGTGCGCATCGACTGCGTGCGCACCGGTCTTACGGGACCCGTTCCGTTACACGTGCGGTGTCAGCGATCGAACGCGTCTCCCGTCGCAGCCGATACAACTGCGCGCGTTATAATCGTAACACGTCAATGTTTTTCGCTCGCATCAAACGTAGTATACGCGCGCGCGTGGTGCAGAATACCGACGCCGATAGACGACCGTCGACGCTGTATCAATTTTCTCCCCGAACACGCGTGTTTCACGTCCGAACGACCACGCCGTGTGCCCGCACGGCCGTGATACCGCCGTACGAGACTCCTACTCGCTGGCCGACCGAGCACTTTCTAAAAGTATAGACCAACTGCACAATTAAAAACGCCATTATCTTTCCGCTCGGTGAATCCGCACTCCTCCTAATGGTTCGTGCCTGCGAGGCGCGATGCACCGCGCGGGCGCTGAAGATCTGTCAGCGATGATTTCCTCCGTTGCACCGTTGTTCGGGAAAACCCGAAAGCTCGGTGCGGTCCGGACGCGTTTTCGATCATCACGCGCGCCCGTTCGGTCCGTTGTTACATTTACGTGTATCCTTCGAATCGATCCCATCGTTTTTATGGACATCGTTCGGCTCGGTCGTTACTCTAACCGGTAAATGACCATTTAAAAATGGTAATGTCCACGAGAAAGTAATAATTACAAAACACTGCCGAACGTATCGAATACCGTTCGGCGATTACACCGATAAATCCGTGCGCGCACCGTTTCCTGAACATAAAAATCCGCTACTCGACATCATTGTGTTACGAAAATACATTTTGTACCGCGCCACGAGGACCGACGATGATATCTGTTCATCGTTCGTCCGTGTCCGACTCGTAAAGTCGGTACAACTACAGTGCGTCTGGTCAGAAAAAACAAAATTGTTACTCATATTGTTTGTACACAACGGTTTTACCGAGTTGCGAATGTCAAACGTGGTAGTATCGTATATTATTATTGAATTCGGTTTCACTATTGTGTTGAGTCACCGGACGTCAGGTCTCAAGACCAGCGATCAACAATAAACGTACCCATTACATTTTTTTCATTTTTTATTTTTGTAATGTTTTCGAATCGTTATTATAACACACATGGTTATGATTGTGTTTCTACGACGTGTGGCCAATAAAATTAATTAAAATGCTTACTGCTCTACTCTGGCACAAATCGCACTACTTTCTTCGTATAATTATATACTTTGTACACTGAACGCATACCACTTAAAATATTTAGTGTTGTTACATAAAAAAATAAAAATTATTCTATTTGAAAATGTTAATGACGACGAATAGTAATAGTTAAAAAAAAATCGAATTGAAATGGAATTATTTAAATATATATTACAACGATTTATTGAATCCAACTATCAAACGAATCAAACTTATCGACGGTAATGCGTACAAATAATCTTATCATTTATAGTCATCGCTACTATTACTGGTTCATATAAATAACACGATGAATACGATTATATTTTGATAAATTTATTTATTTAAAATCATTAATATTAATATGAGTACCAGTAAAATATGTGCGTGTTAATAATTATTATAGTTCTGTACTATGATATATTCTAAAATCATAATCGTAAACTAATTTGTTGTTTGATGATAGCTGATTTTAATAAGCTATTAGATTTTAAGTTACGAAGAGCGAATTTCCGAAATACATTTTTTAGTTTCGCTTTTAAATACTGTTCACTGTTACGCATTGTAAATATTCTTAACGGTGACTGATTTGGCATGATAATTATTTTCCGGGATTCCGAGTTATAGTTATTATAGGTAGTAATTGGGAAACAGAGCTATTCAACAATATCATATTCACTTGATGCAAACGCTAAACAGATACAAATCGATAATGACTCGAAAATAAGTTATTCTACACAAAAAAAACTAAACTCGAGAAATCGAAAAAAGAAATGTTTTTGATTGTTATGACGTACCATAAAAGTGTTAAGGAAATGTGTTAATGTAATACCATCATAACGCGTTATTTTTATTTTTTACGTGTATTTTGATCATTTTTTTAAAATTATAATTACAAATTATATTAAAGTTTCGAGTAACGTATTAATTTATCGGTTTGAAAAAAAAATTATTTCACGTAACACTGCAGAGATACATATCACCGGATACGCGTTTCGAAAATGTACATTTTACCCACTTTTGATTATCTTGTTCGCTTCATCTAGATGACGTGATAATTAATTTTATCCCGATGGAAAATCGTTATGATATTATTGCGGTTACCTTAAACTTATAAATTAAGAGATTTAGTGCGTAACTGTTGTTGTAATATTCGTGCGCGATTTTAATATTTCTTACGAGGAAAGTTTATGCACAACACATATTACATTTACTGCAATTATAGCATGAATACTTATTTTTAACTAGTCCGTATGTGTGTACGTGTCACAACGTCGAGAAAAGTATAAATTACTTTTATTTGTATTTTATAATATCCTGCAGCGTCGGAACGGGTTATGGGAAAACGTCGATGAATCTCACAGTGTGTAAATTTACGTCGATAAGGAGATGAGTTTCGCAACGTAAAATCTGGTAACGTTCTCGCACAAGGTTGGGACCTCTCTGTCCGCGCGTCGGTATCGCGCGTTATGTTCGCGTTGGCCGACATTGCAACGATAACGTTGTACAGCCTTGTTCTCTCGACATCCCGTACTTGGAGGCCACGTTGCTGCCACGTTGCACGGATAGGAAAATCCTTGATCTTGCGATATTTGGCATCGTCAAAACTGCTACCGGTTCCCGCGATCGTCGAAGCCGCCGTTCGCGTTTTGCCGAATTTCTCGCACGATCGGCTGCGATTCCTGACGCACCGGACGAAGGATCCTCGCCGCCTAATCCTTAACCCCTCGCCTCGCCGCACCGTCCAACCGTGTCTGCGGATTGCGTATAATACCGTTCACTTCCGCGTCCGAAAGTGTGCGCGTGTAACTGTAGTTGTGTTTCGCGTGCGCGTGATAACCATCACGCGCTCATGCGATTTTCTCCGACTATTGGTTACCAAAATTTTTTCACGTTCGTTTTCTATTCGCGCGCACGGCGTACATTATTACATCGTCTGCACGTACGCGGAACCCGCAAAAACCGAACGTCGGATACGTCGTCTTTGCGCGCATCTACATTTCATGCAATTTCGTTTAAAGATTTTAACGGTGGTGCACGGAAATGCCTCCGCAACGTTTTCGAATCACACGGTACGAAACTGTGATTCTTAACATTTTAATACGCGTTATCATTCATTTGTCTCATTTCCGTACGAATCGTCGTATTTATATTATCTGTAACGTCGAATCCGAAACAATAGAATATGTACACACACTCGAACGAGTCAAAACATAATCTATAATACTTCGATTGTCGTTTCGAACATTTCAGCTATTGAAGTACCTATTATTAGTGGTTTAAATTTGCTATTAGACGACTGACTGAATGACGTTACTATTATTTTAGATTTAATTATCGAATTCATTCCATGGACGAATTACGTATTCCGTATAAAGCCTACAGTGATTAAAATAGATTTAAAATAAATGACGTTACGTTATGTTTTACATTATCGCGTTTTGAAAAGACCTTTTTATAATTTTTAATCGCGAGATTTTTAAAATCCATCATACTCGTATTACAATATTATAATCACCGCACCGTAATATATCAGGGATGTTGCGCCCCTGCACTCATTAGTTCGATACCCTATAACACAGTGATTATCGCGAAGTCAGTAAACACATGGTCTCGTATATTAGTGATAGCCTACCACTGATAGGAAACCGACACTGGAATTCACACCGAGGAGTGTTCTGCTCGTATCACCCGTCCCACTCTTCGTACGGTCGACCAAAAATTATCGTCGTCTTATATTGACATTAAGCAAAACCACTGGCGAACGACAGCGGGTACGAATCGTAACTGTAAAAACGACGTTGTGTTATTTTATAATAATAATAATAACAGTAATAATGCCATACGCCAACTGCAGCATAATCTTTAACCACGTGGTTAGCGTTTATTAGCTTAAACATGATTTTCGTTTCTTTCACTTTCACGAATACGAAAAACGTTCACGCGCGCTCAACTATGTTTATACATACACATAGCTGGCTTATAAATATAACAAACACAATACGTCTTTGCACGCGCTGTATACATTGCGAACATACGATAGGCATAGCAATGCGTGTGTGTATTAATATCTATGCACGTACGAGTAATGTAAATTTTCAATTAACTATCTTTAAAAAACCGGATGTGTTTCAAATGCGTCCAGAGGGTGTTCGAATTGTTGTTTTTAAAACGAGATACGGTCGATGAGGTTTCTCCGAAACGGTACACCAATGGAAAGGCGAACTGGTCTGATGAGATATCGTGTTTGTAGAGAGTGCAAGTGTATTCAAAACTCTTGTCTCGTGACCACTTGCGCGTTACTCTCAGCTTGCTGCCGTAGCGCTGAACGTTATTGGAATTTGTGCGGTAGCCATTGCCGTACTTAGACATTTTGCGCCCCGGCGCAAAAAAAAAAAAAAAATGGTGCCCTTCTAAGGGTCCTACCCACGGAAAATATAGGAGATAGATTCTCATGAACCTTTTAGATATTCTAAAATCAATG